ATTTGGGGGTAGTTGATTAAGTGGCATTACCACGAGCTTGAATAAAGTGAGATGTGGGTTAGTTGGAAAGTGAAAAGTCCATAAAATAAACGAGTAATTGAAATTTGGAGCGTAAATTCCAGTTAGTGGACTTACATTACAGTCATTCTCTGAATCTAGCACATCATTCAATGTTACGGCCGCGTTATTAGGAAATCCTTCAGAAGAACAATCTAATATACGGAGACGATCGGAGGGGTCGGGAAGCTTGTCTAGAAGGGCTGGAATAGCTCTGAAAGCAAGTAGTTGAAGCACGAGTGGGAATCCGTTAAGTTTAATGGATTTTTGTTGGAGCTGTTTGCAAAATAAAGAGACAGGACCATCTTTTGACTTAGGACCAGTGACCCTTGGTGGCCGCATCGACCACACTGTTTTAAGGAATGATTCTCGGCCCCATGGGAAACTAAAGAACTCTTCTAGATTGTCAACCATTCTGACATAACGAGGAGTTGGCGTATGGGTCTGGTGGTTTGCAATGAGAACACAGTCAACAATTAGGAGAAGGGCAAGTCGAATACGACGTTCGCCAGGCATTTCCTTGTCATCACGAAGCCAGCTTGCGATGTCTGCACAGGTCGTCTTGACGTCGTCACCAATCCAGCGCCTCCAGTAAATATCCGGCTCTTTGAGAATGACCTCTGAAGAGGGAGTTTCGTACCCCTCGTCGAACAACGAACAGTTGAGCCCAGTAATATCCTGAAACTCGGGCAGGGAGAAACGCAGTGGCTGACCACCAAAAACCGTCCATAGCTCATATTTCTGTTTGGTAACCAGCTGTCTGGCTATGAGGGCCTGAATAAGTTTGCATGATATTGGCGCTCTGTTTGCGGGTAAGTGAAATAGGCCGCCAAAACTGGAATTTAAAATCCGGTCTAGTTCAGGAGAATCCCGAAGAAGGTGACGGACCACGGTGAGTGTATCGGGCTTGGAATAGACATTTAACCGGCAAATTGGATACCGATCTGTTGCAAATAACCTTGGAGGGAGACGGTCGTCAGGGAGATTGAGATCTTCGTCAATAAATTTAAATAAACACCCTATTAGGAATGAATAACCACAAACGCAGTACATGACTAAGCAGGAACTTACCAGTCATTGTCGAATACCCCAAAGGAATCGGTGATGTCGGCTGGAGGGACGTAGGTTGACGTATTTAATTTAAAGTAAAACCACGAAATTGCAGACGGAGAAGAATGAGTTTAGGTGTTTTGCTAAAACTGGAAAAAGGGTAGATGTAAATCGGAGGAGTTAGGGTTTTTACTTGAGGGGCAAATGAAAAGTCTCAATAACCGACATGAAATGGGTTAGCTGAGATAGAACCGGTCAAAGTAATAATAATTACGGTTGCAGACACTACCTCGAATTTGATGCGAGTGAATAACACAACTCGTCTGCATGCGTTGGTAGCGTGTGGTTAGACTTGTACAAAGGTGCGTGTAATTATATGGATAAGGTGTGTGTGGTTAGACGGGACTTTGATTTGAAATCATGAATCGGGATGGACATTGAACATGGATAAAATCGGGATGGACATTGAACATTGATAAAATAAACAAGTTAATACGTATATGCTCAATAGACATGGACATGTACACTCAGGTCTCAACCTAACAAGCAGTATGGACATTGCCGTAGATTGTGAGGGTCTAGTAGACGAATAGACATGTACAATGCCACCTGATCCTAATATAGTGTGGACTTCATACATGGTAATGTATAGACATGTACAATGCCACCTAAGCTTAATATATATGAACATTATATGGATAAGGTGCGTGTGGTTATACGGTACTTTGATTTGAAATCATGAATCAGGATGGACATGAACATTAATCGTGTATGTCGTCAGCTATTGGCATGAATCGTAAGAACGAGTATCGGATAAGGACTCCACCTCATATGGATATGTACACTCGGATAAGGTCTCAACCTAACAAGCAGTATGGACATGGCGTCTAGTAGACGAATAGACATGTCTCAATCTCATATGGATATGGATATGTACCAGACCGGATGGAAGGACACGATAATGTTTCAATCTCATATGGATATGGATATGTACTTTTGGATACAGCATGGAAAATAACATTGACATACACTGATAGCACAGAAGTGGATTGGCCTAAACAAGTGATATGTAGATGACAGCATATTGCGAAACTAATAAGCAGTATGGACATGGCCATATTCTTCGTGTACATTGATATATGGATATGTACAATGAGCAGTATGTACATTAAAGAATATAGCTAATTGTGGAATAGTGTATGAACATAACATGTACATTGATATGTGGATCCGTCCAGTTGGTATAGCGGTTCTTTGGACTTGATGAGTGTAATTATACGGATGAGTGTATGGTTGGATAATAGTTTGAATAAGTGTTAGAGCATGGTCATGTTCGAGGTGCATGGATATGGACCATGATATGGACACCATTGTCGGTAGTGTGGATATAACCAATAATGACTAATTATATTCATGATCGGATAGAGGGACACGATAATGTCTCAATCTCATATGGATATGGATATATACATTAGCATGGAAAATAACTTTGACGATCCCTGATAGCACAGAAGTGGATGGGCCTAAACAAGTTGATATGTAGATGACAGCATATTGCGAAACTAATAAGCAGTATGGACATGGCCATATTCTGCGTGTACATTGATACATGGATATGTACTAATGAGCAGTACATACATTAAAGAATATAGCTAATTGTGGAATATTGTATGAACGTAACATGTACATTGATATGTGGATCCGTCCAGATGGGATGAAGTATCTTTGGACTTGATGAGTGTAACTATAAGGATGAGTGTATGGTTGGATAATAGTTTGGATAAGTGTTAGAGCATGGTCATGTTCGAGGTGCATGGATATGGACCATGATATGGACAACAGTGTCGGTAGTGTGGATATAACCAATATTGACTAATTATATTCATGATCGGATGGAGGGACACGATAATGTCTCAATCTCATATGGATATGGATATGTACATTTGGATACAGCATGGAAAATAACATTGACATACACTGATAGCACAGAAGTGGATGGGCCTAAACAAGTTGATATGTAGATGACAGCATATTGCGAAACTAATAAGCAGTATGGACATGGCCATATTCTTCGTGTACATTGATATATGGATATGTACAATGAGCAGTATGTACATTAAAGAATATAGCTAATTGTGGAACATGAGCGTGGTCATGTTCGAGGTGCATGGATATGGACCATGATATGGACACCATTGTCGGTAGTGTGGATATAACCAATAATGACTAATTATATTCATGATCGGATGGAGGGACACGATAATGTCTCAATCTCATATGGATATGGATATGTACATTTGGATACAGCATGGAAAATAACTTTGACGATCCCCGATAGCACAGAAGTGGATGGGCCTATACAAGTTGATATGTAGATGACAGCATATTGCGAAACTAATAAGCAGTATGGACATGGCCATATTCTGCGTGTACATTGATATATGGATATGTACAATGAGCAGTATGTACATTAAAGAATATAGCTAATTGTGGAACGTAATATGTACATTGATATGTGGGTCCGTCCAGTTGGTATAGCGTCTCTTTGGACTTGATGAGTATAATTATACGGATGAGTGTATGGTTGGATAATAGTTTAGATAAGTGTTAGAACATGGTCATGTTCGAGGTGCATGGATATGGACCATGATATGGACAACAGTGTCGGTAGTGTGGATATAACCAATAATGACTAATTATATTCATGATCGGATGGAGGGACACGATAATGTCTCAATCTCATATGGATATGGATATGTACATTTGGATACAGCATGGACATGTACAATGAGCAGTATGTAAATTAAAGAATATAGCTAATTGTGGAGTAGTGTGTGAACGCGTAACATGTACATTGATATGTGGATCCGTCCAGTTGGTATAGCGTCTCTTTGGACTTGATGAGTGTAATTATACGGATGAGTGTATGGTTGGATAATAGTTTGATATATAGATCCGTCAATTTGTGGCATAGAGTATGAGCTTAACATGTATATTGATATATGGATCCGTCCAGATGGATATCCAGTCTTTGGACTTGAGAAGTGTAAGGGGATAGGTGAATATGAGACATGGATATGCACCACTCGGATAAGGTCTCACCCTCCTATGTATATGCCCACTCGGATAAGGTCTCAACCTCATATGGATATGGATATGTGCATTCGGATACAGATGGAAAATAGCTTTGACATACACTGATAGCACAGAAGTGGATGGGCCTAAACAAGTTGATATGTACATGACAGCATATTGCGAAACTACTGAGCAGTATGGACATGGCCATTTACATTGATATATGGTTACAGCTGGAAAATAACTTTGGAATTGGGGAGTGTATCATAGACGCGACTCTGGTGGATTACATACGGTCAATGGGACTATGAGCGGCTGATAGCACAGACGTGGATGGAACTAAACGGATGGCACCCTTCCGTGGATCTTCGAAGGAGCAGGAGAAGCCATTGATGCGCGGGATGCAGGGATCGCCGAAGCAATGACCGGCGAATGAAAAGCCATTAAAGCGCGGGATGCAGGGATCGCCGAAGCAATTACCGGCGAAGGAGAAGCCATTGAAGCGCGGGATGCTAAAATACAATAAACAGGAGCACCTCTTTGCAATTAACGAACTGTTAACAATGGAGCATGCGAATTTTAAGCATTAGGGAAGATAAAGAGATTTCTCAGTATGATAATAACTTCACATACCGGTTTATTCGGTCTGGTCGAGCCGGGTATAGTCTCTGATGAGTGCAAGGATTAATTGGGCTTTTTGCATACTCCAAAACTCAAAAAGTGCTAGTAAAAACAAAAGTGTCTTACAAAGTCAAAAAGTGTCATACAGTGTAAATACTTCTCCGAGAAATTCATAAATTCATAAACCATTGCGAAAGCTCAGAGAATACAAGAATGGCGCACGCGACTCTCTCTCATTCCTCCAGGTACACTCTTCTCTTTTACTTCCTCCTCTTCAAATGATCAAATCCACCTTCTGATTCCATTTCCTCCTCAGATTCTCTCGTCTCCTATCAACCTCTAGATTCCTCAGAAAACCGAGCCCCCTTTTCGCCGGAGAAGGGTTCCGATGCTGTTGCTCCGCGGCCACCGACGACACTTCTCCTTCTCCTAGGTTCTCCATTGTGTGTACAACTTTTGATTCCATTTAAAATACATTTAGCTTAAAACTTATCATATCATTTTTCTGATTGCAGGAAACGTGTAGTGTCTGGAGTCCAACCTACAGGATCAATTCACCTTGGAAACTATCTCGGTGCAATCAAAAATTGGGTCACTCTTCAGGTTTTTCTCTCTGTTTTCCCCATTTGATAATGACTCATAAAATGTATGTAATTTCAAGTGATACTCCATTTTTCCCTTTTTTAGAGATGCCCCTTCTGTAAAAATTGTTTCTTTTCAGTTTAGTTTTGTGTAATCAAGATCACATTTACAAAAATTCATCGATTTGGATTGTTTGTTGTAAAGTTCAAGGATGCAGATTATTTATTTTATTTTTTTTAACGTCTATACTATATATATTAAGAAGAGTTTACATAGTCATGGTGTAAAGCATCAGATACAAAATGGGGTGCTAAATAATGATAAGTGTATAGAGAGTTGTTTTGTTGACCCTTCTTTGCTAATGTATCGATGCAGATTATTTATTTTGTCTAATTGATACAAAATTTGTCTTTATCATCTTTTTAGGCCTTTCTGTGTTTATATGTTTGTAATTTCAGTCGATACTCGATTTTTTACTTGTTTGAGATGCTTCTTTTTACACCCTTTTGTAAAAATTCTATTTTTGCAGAAAATTTTTTTGTAATCACAGATCACATTTACAAAAATTCATCGATTTAGATGGTTTGTTGTATAGTTCAAGGCTTTAACAAAAGGAATCATTTTTTTTTTCCTTTTTGTCTGGTTGATAGAAAATTTGCCTTTCTGTGTTTATATGTTTGCAGGATACATACGAGAACTTCTTTATTATAGTAGACCTTCATGCGGTATAAATTATCTATACCTTTCCAGAAGCTAGATTATGTAGTAATTCCTCTGTTTCTCTCTTATTATTTATATATCCCTCTTGATATGTAAGACAACAGTACCATATGACACACGACAACTAGGAAAGGCAACTAGGGATACCGCAGCGCTTTATCTAGCGTGTGGTGTAGACATTTCTAAGGTTCGTTTTCGAGTTAAAACTTACGTGAGAACAGTCAGATGTGATCTGCAGTAACCAATCAAAGAGAGACTATGTAGGCTTCGGTATTTGTGCAATCTCATGTCTGCGCTCATGTGGAGTTAAAGTGTCTTTTGAGTTCATCAACACCTATCGGTTGGCTACAGAAAATGACTCAATTCAAAGAGAAATCACGTAAGGAGGTGCGTATATGTTTGTAGTTTCTTGTTGTTCCACATTATTTAAAGGGAGATGCGCCTATATATCGAAGCTCATAACAAGTTGATATTAATAAACTGGACATGGATGTTAAAACGTAACATTTTTTCAGGTTTGTTGTTGATTTCTTAGTGTTACTAGTGAGATAACATATGCAATGTATAGGGCATACAGACAGCATACTCAACTTAGTCTTTCTTCTGCATAAACCTGAAAATAATATGTGATTGTGTACATCTAGGATTCTGTTTATTGATTTCATCTTAGTCCTTTTTTTCGGCAGGGGGGTGAGAATGCTTCTGTCTTTTTGCTAACTTATCCAGTTCTGATGGCTGCTGATATCCTCTTGTATCAGGTGATGCTCTACACGGAGAAATTAACAATCTTTTTTTAGCTATGTTCATGCAAGACTTCTTCGGCCGACCATCTATGTGATTAATTCTTTGTCCAGTTAAAGAAGTGCATGTACATACCTGCCTATTGCATCTACGATGACCGATTTGCTGAATTGCATAATCCTTATACTCTACAACATGCCTCTGCAGACTGATTTTGTCCCCGTTGGTGAGGACCAGAAGCAGCACCTAGAATTCGCCCGCAGCCTGGCACAGCGTGTGAATCATTTATATGGTGGAAGGAAGTGGAAGAAGCTTGGAGGGTATAAAACCTTGCTTTGTGTATTTAGTATATTAAGTATATTGTTCAAAATCAAGTGCTTATTATTCTATGTTATTAATTTTTCTTAATGGCTTAAAGTTCTTCATTTGTATCCCATTATCCATCTAACATTGGCAATTTTCATTTGCAGACGTGGTGGTTCGCTCTTTAAGGTGAGACTTTCCAAATGCTTTGTCTATCCCTCATTGTGTGGCTTTGAAGGTTTATCGGTTTTCATATTCATCCTGTTTGTAGATACCAGAACCACTCATACCACAAGTTGGAGCCCGAGTTATGTCTCTTACTGATGGTCTTTCCAAGGTAAAAACGTTTTCATTTGCTAATTTAAAGTTTTTTTTTGGCGTTTATTTTTCTTTCTGCATTATGGAGTTGCTAACTGTTGGTCTATTGTAAATAAATAATATTATAGAGGATATGATTAGCGTTCACATGCTATTGGAAATATATTGGTAAACCCTTTGTTTTCTTTAACATTGTATTCTGTTTCTCTTCAATTTCTAGTTAAGTTGTAAGGATTTAAACACTTCTGAGATTGCCTCCCTGAATGTGGTCCAGATAGAGTTTTTCATCTGCGGATTTCAGAGGATCCAATTTTTTAGCTTGCTTATTCAGATACTTCCGAGGAATTGCGTACTTGTTGCTGATATCTTACTGTCACGTAATCTTGTAGATGTCCAAGTCTGCACCTTCTGATCAGTCGCGGATCAATCTACTTGACTCAAAAGATGTAAGTAAAATGAACTTACCAATGTTTGTAAGGCTTAGCATTTTCTCATTGAGCATGGATATGAAACGCCTGTCACCATATTCTCCATGTGCCATATGTGCTTAAGCTCTCGTACTCTTGTAGAATTCTGTTCATTGTTGGTTGTTTGTGAAGTTCTCCTGCTATAATCCAGTGCTCATCCCTCCTTTTGAAAATTGTGTAGTTGATTGCGGATAAGATAAAACGGTGCAAGACAGACTCATTTGCAGGGTGAGTGCTCTAACATTTTTCTTGAAATGCACAAACTTTTAGGTATCTGTTATCAATTTTATTTAAAAATTGTGATATCTATATTAAAAGTTTCTGCTTCTTGTTGTTCCAACAGCCTTGAATTTGACAATGATGAGAGACCTGAATGCAACAATCTCCTCTCTATATATCAGATTGTTTTAGGCAAGACAAAAGAGGTAAGGAGAAAACAAATGATGGTTTGTTATTTACTCTTTCAACTATAATCTGGTGAACATATTTTGGAAACGGTTACAGGAAGTGATGGAGGAATGCAAAGATATGAGCTGGGGTTCATTTAAGCCTCTCCTTGCAGATGCTTTGATCGAACATCTGAATCCAATCCAGGTTTATAAATTCAGAACTTTTAATCAAATCCAATAGAGATTCCTAGGAGTTTGTATCATTTCATCTCAATCATATCATAAAAAGAAAAACTGATGTAGAGTAAAACCCTTAGCAGGGCATCTTTATTTGCATAAATCTTGATCTGATATGTGGTGGTATGTGTTTTTTCGTGTGCAGGTCCGTTATCACGAGATAATAGCGGAAACTGGATATTTGGATAAAATATTGTCAGATGGTGCAGACAGAGCCATAGATATAGCGGATGCCACAGTTCACAATTTGCGGCAAGCTATGGGATTCTATATGAGGAATAGTGCAAACTGATGTGTGGTCGGTTTTTTTTTTTGGAGTTAGATGGATAGAGTAGAGTAACATTCTTGATTCAGTAGAATTACATTGTTGATTCAGAGTAGAGTTACATTCTTGATTCTTAATTTATTTATCAACAGAGTCAATTCAATTCCTGTTCATTCTTTTTTGCACTAACTGTGATATCTCAATTTCCATCACTGCTGAATGATTTTACTGTATCCACGTAGCTTTTTGGTTTGAACAAGACTAAATCAATGTAAAGGAACTAACAAATACTAAAATACTTGTCTTCAGTTGCAGTTTGTATTTATAATATTCATCAAATAAAAACTTGTTCATCACATTTTTTTAGTCACTATTACATCATAGCCACAGATAATTGATCTAATATCAATACAGATGATGATTGATCATCACCAATTAGTGTACTATCTGACTGTCTATCATAATCATTACTTTGTTCCCAAACACAATAGGATCCAAATCTCATGCTAATGAATTTAGACCGGGCCAGTCAGGCCATAAGGTTATGGCCAAATCATTCATAGTCGCATAAACAACAGAAAGTACATTTTAGGGATTAAGAATGGGTCTTTATGAAAGAAGCGACTAGCAACTGGAAAAAAAAAAAAAAAAAAAAAAAAAGCAGGAGACATATTTATGCAGACAGAATCATATAACACACAGAATGATCCCAAATCTGAAAACATATCAAATACAGAAAACAGTCTGAAATAGCCTGTAAAGGTAGACAGATCTAATTCACTTGCCTATCACCATGGTGACCTCATTGATCCTCTTCCTAGGCAACTCTCGGACAAAAAGTATTGAACCAGCACAAGCTCCACACCTTACTTTTCCCAACTTCCTGGAGCATAGTATCGAACAGCACGGCTTTCGCATCCCAAACTCCCTCTTCCCAGAGTTTGGATACTCACCATCCCAACGAGTTACGAACAAACAAGATCATTTTCAAAGTTGTTATTTGTTTTTTTTAATTAATCTTTTATCTTATTTTTTTTTGGATTTTTCTTACTTTTTTTCTCTTTTTAAGCTTTTGGATTTTTTGGATTTAAGCTTACCAATATTGTCGAGTTCTGGAAGACGTCCAAAGCAACACTACGTGCTCTGGTTCTTCTTCTTTATTTTTGTTTCTTGATCTTTTCCTTTTTTCTGACTTCAGGTTCTCATTACGAGAGACCTAGCTCACACTATCGACTCCAAGCTCAACCTGTTGCTGCTAGAAAAAGTACCAAGAAAACCAAAACAAGAACATAAAGAGATCATGATTGGCATAAAATAGTAACAGGTTGCAAAATACATGCCTCATCAATGGACAAAGATTCTGACCTAGCACCTTCTTCCGGTCTCCCCATCCCGCTGAGCAAAGGATTTGACTAAGACACAGTAAAAAATGACAAGCAAAGATAGAAGTCAGAAGTGATCTGAAGGAAAGAGAAAAAGCATCTAGATAAACACATTATTGCAATGCAAATCTGGTGCAGATTAAGCGATTCTCAGGAAACATTTCTTGATTCTAACAATAAAGCACAAGATCACCCTTCAACATGTCATGCAGTGGGTGTGACACTCACAAACTATAAGTATAAATCGTTAAAATCATAAATAACAAGTCACAAACCAGCTACCAAACGCGAAAATCCTACAGAAGAATAAGCCTTTTGCAAAATGACATAAGTTAGAATAGAAAACCTGAAGTTCTTCCGACAAGCCACTTTTGAACAATCCATCTGAATGCAAGTTTTTATGTTCCACAGATGGATCCAAACTTGCACCAGTAAAAAAACCCTGTAACAAGCCATGATTACTATGTCCAGTACGATCAAGACATTTTTTTGCAATTGTTTTACGGGTCTTATACAATCATCATCGAACAGGAAAAACTCACCTCATGATCCAGGTTCTGCCCACAGTATCCATTACGCAAAGCACCATCAGCAATTTTTCCCGACCTGGATTCCCTCTCAACTTCATCAACATTCTCTTTCAGATTTAGTCGCCTTGGAAGATGTGGCGTGTCATCATTGATGGCTTCAGAGCACATATTACGACCTTCATCTTCATTATGCCCACCTTCACATGCTACCACAGCACTAGGGTCCGGTCTCACATGCTTTTCTACAGGCTCAGCCAGGTCATGACAACCTTGGACAAGAGCCCTACTATCTACTTCCAGGGTTTGCTCGTTACCAGAGTTATGCTCTCTCTGAGAAACTTCTATGATTTCAGTGCTTTTCCTAATAAATCTTTCAGCCTCGACTTCGACATTAGGAGTGGTGCAATCAAGATCAGTAGTTACTAAGCATTCGGCTCTAGGACCTGACTCAATGCCAATCGGAGGAGTCTCACCAGTTGTGATAGCACTACTATCAGGATAAACTGCATCTAGACTATGTGGACTAAGAGATGCACGCTTCTCAGGTTTCTCTGGCCTCGTATCTATCATTTCATTGTCGTTTTTCCTCTTCGCATGTCTCTCAACATAAGCGGACACTGAACCAACACCCTCCTCACCAGGCTCTCGGGATTGTTGATTCTGGTGCCTGGATTGCCGAGGCCTCTTATATCCGTTTGGAAAAACAAAAGGTGGAAGCTGCCGTCTACGAACATGAGAGACATACACATCCATCCCAGGCCTCCAAAACATATACATGTTTACCTCTTGCCTGAACTCATCTACTGTTCCACGTATATCAAATTGTTGACATTCTTGGCCACCAACTCCTTCTGCCCTCTGCAAGCCCATGAAAAATGCACAATGCCGAAACTGCTTGGAAGTGTCCACATACTCATTTGGTTGAGGATGGCACATTAACATCCCATTTGTGTCTCGTTCTATCTGCATTATCGGATTAAGAAAGAGGAGAATAAAAACCCTTCAATCACTGTTTTTTCTACCAATAAAACTTGGAGAACATCAAATAAAAAGAGGAGAAGGCTATCTTACCTTCAAAGTCAGCTGCCTGAACCGTGACTCCACCCAACCCTTCCAAGCCAATAGATCTTCTGCATCTACTGCTAATACATCAACCTGAAGGTAATTTTTATATGCCTCGAAGAACATATATTGTTCGAATAAGGAACTCCAGTGTTGTTTATTTAACTCAATCTCCTGCATACAAAACTTACTTAGTAACAGGATCCTGCGTAAACTATTCATAAAAAATTCGGGTGTTTTGCTCCCTAACCTGACAGATCTTGTTACCATACTGGAATTGCTCAGTCATAACACGAAGAGTGCTTTGAGAGACATTGTAACTAGAATTCATGCACGGGTATGCAGGTGTTATTATTGGCATAAGATGATAGCGGTCACGGTGATTTTTCCTTGGGTCCCAGACAGGTATTCCAAGCTCATTCTCTTCTATTGCACAAAGCATGACTGGGTTCGGCCAGCGCCACTGTGTATATACTCTAAAAAATCGAGAAACCAACATACTAGGAATAGCATTTGGATAAAGCTGGCACAGCCGTGCAACCAGAAGTGCCCAGTTTACCCCACCAAGAAATCCAGTAACCTGCTCAATTTGAGATGACAAGAGCTTGACAGTTTTGTCAAAAAAAAAATGTAATATACTAATACCCAGAGAGACACCACCTTACATTTGAATAGACCCCACGCTTCTTAGCCCAGTACTTCATGCATCTTAGTGTTGTCCGGAAGTGCTAGATTTGCACATAACGTCAGAGATGGTTTACAGGATTCCTTAGTCTATTATGAAAAAAAAACTGGCATTGTTTACCTCGAAATTTGGAACGAGTTTAAGAATCTGATCAGCAACCCTACAACCATTAAGACTGCGGACAGTTTGCTCATCCACATCGCACAGCACAGAAGAGTTGGAGATATCCAGATCCTATCAAAAATTCAAACCAGAACAACAAGGGATCTGACTGAGCAAGAATTTATGAATTTTGGCTAGAACTCAGCTCAGTACATATATATATATATATAGTCCTACTCTTCCTCCAAGGGCTTGAGATGTCAACGAAATTGTTGGCCTTAGTGAACACAGATATGTGGGACTGCCGTTTTTTAGCACCATATATATATAAGCACCCTTGGAGGAAGAGTAGGACTCTCTTAACGTGACCATCAACATGTAATACAAGCACCAAACCAACTCCAAGATAACATAAAGGTGTCTCTAATCACAACAATGTTTCAGCCGAAACTGAAACTGGCTATATTGATATTACCTGTGGCACAACTAGAAGTGATATGCTAGCATACAGAAGATCAATAGATATTCCTTGGAACTTAAACTTCATGACTGGGACATGAGCATCAGTAACAGGTTGAAGCTCAGTCACTTCTTCCATCTCAGCCAATATATCACGCAAGATGATGAAGAAATCCTCCTGTTAAAATAACCTGTTAGGAACTCAAACTATATGCCAGACCTTTACATCGGTAAGACGTGATTCAAGAGTCACCTCTCGGTTAACATAAGATGGGCCAACACACAGTGTATCAATATCAGCCCCAGGTCCGTGTACCTGCAAGTCAACAAAATCAAGCTTTTTTACCCTCGCATACTAGTAAAGTAGAGACATATACAATGCTCTCTTGACTAGAGTGATGGTTCAAGGATATTTACAAGGGTCAATGAGAAAGTATATGATCCCAGTAAACCATAACCTATAGCCGCACAGAATACAATCAGTTGAACTTAAACTTTAAACTTAAAGCACTTACTCCAAGGCGGTAAGATCCAAAAGTGAATATGACAGCATTTGCGTCCTCCACCATCTGATCTGTATACCCCCTCTGACGAGTTAAGTGTTTCACCCAGTGTTTTACGATCTATACAAGAAGTTTGAGAAAGCAGACATATTAGAATTAGCAATAGAAACAAATCTGGACCATAGTATGAAGGCACAGTAAGAAAACATATGTTAAGAGCTTAAAACAGCAAACTAAGTAAAAAAGACAGCGAAAAGTGATTCAAAGTTACACATCACCCCTCAAACAACAGATCTCAAACTTCACAAACATGAACAATCTCTGAAAGTATAAGGAAATTCTTGGGCCTATTTTACATCCAAACAGAAAGCAGCTAACCCCAAAATCTACATCCCAGTAAACTAGAGTATATATCAAACCAAGGATTAGCTCCTACAAGTAAAGTAATCAAAGTTAACATAGCCATTCAGATGAGCCAATAGACATAGAAGCTGCAATATATATTTTACCATCTGCAAATATTAAGCATAATTAAGTCTTAGCAATTATCAACATGAAACACACGCTTATTCACCTGATCCATGCGCCCAAGAACTTCCTCTCTCCGCATTGTTTCTTCATTGCTCTCGTAGAGACCCTCATCAACGAGAAACTTAGGACAATTCAAAAAAAAAAACAAATTCAGCAGAAACGTGTGTCAAAATCGAAGCAAAAATTTCAACAAAAGCTTACCTTCTCCAGCTCCAAATTACGCTTCAAATCAGCCGCTGAAGGGCCAGTAACAGAAAGCGGCTTCGTAATTCCATAGCTCTTAAGAGCTTTAACCGGTGGCTCCTCCGACCGTTGAGTACCCACCATTGAAACAACACACGAAAACCCTAAAGCGATCTACCAGATAAAATATATATATATATATATATATATATCTGTAGATAGATTAGCTATTTGACGCGACTCGAGATCGGATCAAACACATCGATCATGATAATTTACGGAATCTAATAGGAAAGGGAGTCGTATTGCGGGAATTGCGGAAAGGAAAGAGGAGCCGAAAGAAGAAGGGGAAAAGTGAGAGAAGCGAGAGAAAGTCTCTGAAACGAAATCGGAAACCCTAAATCGATGGATATGGAAAGCGACTTCAATTTCAAAGAGAAGTCAAAGGAAAAGGACGAGGAGGTTATAAATCAATTTGACTGGTTCAAAGGAGGGAGAGATGGAGAAGCAAAAGGGGGACACGAAGGGAAAGGAGAGACGTAAATTCGTGAAGATATATATTAGGTGAAGAAAAGAAAGAAAAAAAAACTAATCATAAGTTTTAAAGATATATATTAGGTGAAATAAAAAAGATAATCAAATTTGATAAACATGTTTTCTTTCTCCATTAATTAAGAATTATATTATTGAAACTTCTAGAATACTATTACATAGGTCCGAAAAAATAGAATATTTTTAGATCAATGCAGGTATTTGTGTTGCCCCTTTCAAAAAGTCGTCCAAATCGGCCAACGGCAGCAAGGAACCATCGGGATTATGCTCCAATGGTCAAAAAATCGAGAATTATAAAATGGGTTTGAAGTTGGATTTTTGGGCCGAGATTGGATTTGCCGCAGAAGAAGATTCTCCGAGACTGGTAAAATGGGGCTAGCGCGACCTCTAGAGCTGTAATGGTTGATCTATAAAGTCAAATCTTCGATTTTTTTTTGTTTTTTTCGTGAGGCTACAAAATATATCTTTATTAAATTAGAGATATCTAGAGATCTAACCGTTGGATTGCGTCTAATCTAATTACATTAGAAATTTAGTTGTCTCCTCTATATTATTTCTATATTTAGTTTTGATCTAAGAAAATCTTTATTGGAAATAAAACTTCTGACAGTCCAAAATTGGCCAAAAATGAATCTTTCTCCAGTTTGCATTGTTTTATCTAAATAATTTGAAAAAAATTTTGAAGATAAAAATATTAAAAAACCATGATAAAAACACTTAAAACTAAATAAAACATTTGAAATTGTAATAGAAATTCTTAATAAAAATGAGTTAAACTACGGTGTTATCAGCATGTCAACTGAAAAACAATTACATAATAAGGCACTTTTTGAGTTTAGAATAACATAAAAAGGCACTTTGTGCTATTGAGGTACTTTCAACATACAAGCTGACATTTTTACCCTCTATGATATTTGACGACAGTTTCTTTATTTTTTTATATTTTGCAGTAAAAAACTATATCCTCCATGGCTTTCTCTTTATGCAGTAAGAACGAAAAACCCAGAAATTAAAATTTCTAATTCCAGAGTAAGATGAGTATAAATCAAAGCTGACTTTCTAGAGATCTCAAATTCTCCAACACAGGTATCAAAATAACGTGAGGATATGGAGGGATAATGGCTGTTGGAGATGGAATTCGTGACCAAATTTGTTATCATATCTTTTGAAGAAACCAGTTTGAGCGGATATAAATTTGAGATTTGGGTGCCTTAGATTTTTCCTCCCACACTTTCACCAGTTTACAATTGATTGTCAATTTGGACACCTAGATCTAATACCAAGGGTTGGTCGGAATTACAGAACCTGAAGAAAAGAATCGATTTCAAGAACCTACGACTCCATCCAAATCAATTTTTTTCTTCTAAACTTAAGCTGTATCCACGAGACATCTGTCCACCAACGAATATTAATTTTTGACTATTATATCGTATCCACCAACAAATGTATCATATCCACTTATATATTTGAATCACATCTATATGTATCAAATCTGTGTCCACATGTATCAAATCCATGTTATAAAACATATATGCAATGATCGAAACCATGTGTATCCACTAGTATAGTATCCATGTTGTGAGCGTCTATAGTATCTAATTGTGATTTTTGCATTGTATCCACCTGCTACATATCCTTCTATAGCGCTAGCATTTGTTATCCACATGTATTGTATTCATCTTTCAAGTTTCTATATTATATCCACATATAGCGTATCCATTTATAGTATATGGTATCCACCCAAAGTTGTATTCATCTGTAGCCGTTGTATTGATCCCTATGTTTTTTATTTGTTCTGTTTTTATAGATTCATAGTCAAATAAGATTTCAAAATTTGTTGGAGACGATAAAATTTTAACAAAATTAATTTAGATCTCAGAAAGGACGGCTCCACCATTGTAAACATGAGACAAGCAATCAAGGGAATATGAAGAATAAAAAGAAGAAAAAAATGTTTGCACTAAAAATTCATTTGGTCGTGTCCATGGAGATAGTATCCACTAGTCTCCTAAACAAATAGATATTGTCCATATAGTCAAATTATCGTCACCATTATATAGGATAGACCACCCAAAATCCTGCTAATCAAAACGAAGGATTCAATCATTTAAAAAGTCAAGCAATTACAGAGTCCAATTAAGGTCTGAACTAGATTCTTCCTGAAACTATTAACAATACCTGGGAACAGCATCAATTGTTGAGTAAGACGAAGCTGCCAAGATGATTTTTTGTTATGCAACAACCTCTGTCAAACGACCTCCACCGAACGAAGAGTTTCTGAAATTAAAAACACAACCTGAACTCCTGCTCAGATGGGACAGTTATACGATCCACTTATCTTACTTTTCTTCGATTCGAAAATTTGAACTCTCGTCCATGAGTTTTGATCGTCTATGGCGTTTCCGAAATTTTGGGAACAGAGAGCGGTGAAAATAAAAATGATGGGAAAATTGTTATGCGATATATTAATGAGGGGAATTGTTGTACTTACACACAGAAAAAAAATGGATAAAGTACCTTAATAGCAAGAAGTGTCTTTTTTAGTAAAGAAAGTAAAGAAATTGCCTTTTATTGTAATTCAACTCTGTCAACTAATGTTCTCATTTTCCAAAATCGAGCAATTTAGGGTGAATTGCATAAATATTATGTCTGAACCCAAAAAAAATAGCCAAAATATATATATTATAGAATAGCAGAAAAAAATAACAATAGTAAATTGTCCATAAGATGAGAAATTGTCGAAAAAGCCCCTTGCACATGGTTCTACAAAATCCGCAACATCTTTTTTTTTTGTTATTAAAAACAAAACAGATAACTATTTTTCTCTCTCTTTAACAAACCACATGATTAATTTATAATTACGATAACTTTAAATCACTAGATGTAACGGTTAGTTGTAATTGTCTTATCATAAACAATGTATATGTATTCATTAGTAAAAACGCCATTGCAACAAAAAGTCAATTACATTCACACACCTATACAATAATAATCGCACAAATTATTAACTATTCATTTAGTAAACACCACTGGATCTAAGATTCAATTATATTTATAAACATGTATAAGAATTATTTCACGAATTTATCACCAAATCACTAACATTAAGTTCTGGAATAAACAATTACAGTCTATGACTACACATACAGTTAATCACCAAAAAATAGTGAATTATGTCTGACAAACGATAAACATATAAAAAGTTTTTTTGGCATCATTTAAGCACTATAGTTATATAAGTACTCGAGTAGGCGACTCCTGATGAAATAATCGTCTAAATATAAATGACTAATTCATCACTAATAATAAACATATAAAAAAAATTGAAGCATTAAAGCACCATAGTTATGTAGGTACTCGAGTAAGTGACTACTAACGAAATAGTCGTATAAATGTAGACGACTAATTCATCATCAAATCAGTAACGGTATACACATAAGAACAAATATTTAAGGATTAAAACACTATAGTTATGCATGTGCTCAAGTAGGTGACTACTATGTAGGCTAATAATTCTTTATCAAATCACTAACATTAAGATTAAAGCATTGAAGAAATTTTTTGAAGCATTAAAACATTAGAGCACCATAGTTATGTAGGTATTCGAGTAGGTGACTACTGATGAAATAATCGTCTAAATGTAGACGGTTAATTCAGTATCAAATCACTAATTAATGATCATAGGAAACAAAATTGAAGCATTAAAACACTAAAGCTCTATGTAGGTACTCAAGTAGTTGATTATTGACGAGATTGTTAATTAAATGTATATGACTATTTCATAATCAATCAATAACATAACTTTTAGCGTATAAAAAATTTGAGTATGTGGTTGTAGATGTATATAGTCGACAAAAAATAGATGGATTATGTACGACAAACAAGAAACATATAAAGGAAAATGTAAGCATGAAAGCATCATGGTTTATGTTAGGTAATTCAGTAGATGACTATTAAAATTAACCATCTCGTATACCCACTAAAAATATGGTACATGAAATTAGTCGAGTAATAAATACAGATCTAGATAATCACTAACCCTAAATGGGTTTTTAACACCTATGATAGCATAATTCATGAAATAGTCAACCGCTATATTATTTTAATCCATTACAAGTTTACAACTGTATTATCTTAATGACTAGTGGATTGTCCGTGCTACGCGCAGATTTTCACTTTATTTTTGTATTGTATTTTATTTTTTAATATTGTATATTTTTTTTTTTTTTGTTTAATTGTTTAATTTAAAGCTGCTGAGAATTTTGTTTTATTAAAACAATGTTTGTCTACATATTGGACAATTTGGGACTGTTAATAGCCATTGTACAATACATTGATGATGATAAATATGTTTACATGGTAGTGAGTTCACATCTTGTCTCCCAACAAACCTTTGCAAGCAGATCGGACAGTCTTCGTTTTCTTCTTCTTCTGTTGGCATCCTTGTTGACATCTCAAGTTCGGCGATGTGTAAGTCTACGTCAATTCTGTTTGTGGCATGTGAGTTAAAATGTGTAACTGTGAAGTAAATATCCATGTCTATACCTCTTGTATTTCCTGTTGTTGTCATGACCGAGAAAACGAACTGGCAAAACGTTTGTGTGACTGGTCGCATCGGCCTCCGCTATGTGATGGTATGTTAGTAGGAATTCAATGTTTCTCATTATTGTCGGTGTGAGCTGGCCATGGTTGTTGGTGATGCATGGCATTAGCATATGAATGTCTCGTTGGTTTGTGTATGGCCTTTTGATTGTAAGGTTTATGTTTGTGGTTGTAGTTGTAGAAGATGGGCGAGTTTGGTAAGAGAATGAGTGGGTTATTTCTGTGTTGCTTCCCATTTTTGTTGAGTGTAATGGATTGAAGTTGTTTTGTGTTTTGTTTGATTTTATAATTTTTCGTAGGAAGCAGATGTAGTGGGTTTAATTATTTGTAGTGAATGCATTCATGTAACAGCTATAGAATCATTAAGTGTACTCAGAGAATGGTAAGCGTCTTCTTAGTTTGTGTTATTCTATTTTGTTATTTTTTTGTTAATTTGCTGCATGTTGGTGGCTTTGTTTGTCGTTTACAATTCACATTTTTAATTGTGGATCAGTTTAAGAGCAATTAAGTATTACTTATTTGTTTGTGTGATGTTGGAAATTAAGTTTGTTCAGTTTTGGTTAAATATTTATTGTTCGTGTGATCGTGTCTATAAGCTTTTAATTTTGTTTTTATTATTATTGTTTTGTGTTCATTGGTATCAGTTGTTTTCCTGTTTGTGTGTTTTTATTTTAATTTATTTGTCTAAAGACATTTAGGAGATTACAGAGCTAATCAGCGGAATTATTTATTTTTCAGACCTCATCGTATGTGTCTCTACCTATATGCTTTGATGTCTTAAATTCACATTTGTAACAGCAGTTCAGATTTTGTGGTTATTGTATTTAACTTTCCTCCTTTATTATCAAATATATTTTTAATATTTTTTAAATTGGTCAATAATTTAGAATTTACTGAGTTTGATTGACATCTGGCATTTTTTGTGTGTTGTTGAAACTCTGGCTGTTACTTGATTCGCAAGACATTAGTATATTTTATTTGTATGGTGTGTTTTTACGAACATGACTTTCACAAACAAATGTGGGGAGAGTTTTTGTTAAAAAAAAATCTTGTAAATTATAGTATTGTGTTGCCTGAAAATGCATAAATAAGAACACTTTTAGTCTTTCAAAAAGAATAAACACTCTCTTTATTGTGCAACTATAATGACTCTGAGATGCTGCATCATTGTGTTTGGGACTGTCGTACTCAACCCTGCTCTTCAAGCTGTCCGATTATAAGATCTTTTTTGTTCTTCGGATTGTTGTACCTTACAAAATAATAGAATAATGTTTTCTGTATGGTGAGAAGATTATTGTGTCGAAAGGTTTTTTAATGATTAGCTGTTGTAATTTATTTTATTTATTTTTTCTAAGGAAAACATTAATAGCAAATCTTAAGATTACATGTAGATGCTGGTGAAGTGATGTTCCTCTAGTATAGTATTATTTGTTGATCTGTATAATGTAGATAGTAGGACGTTATTTTTCATTGTAGGACATATTTTGCATAGATATAAATATATTGTTATTTAATAAATACTGACCTTAGTAATTAGGAATATTTTGGAAAACTTCCTTGTAAACAATGTTTCGCACTCCTTTGTCTGTTTCTTCGTCGTCTTGTAAAATGCTTAAACCGTCTGGAGATTTTACCCTTGAGAGAGCTACGTAGAGTTGGCCGTGACTGAAAACCGGCTTAGGTAAATACAATACCACTGATTTTAAGCTTTGCCCTTGACTTTTATTAATAGTCATAGCATAGCATACTCTTATAGGGAATTGTCGTCTTTTTAGAGTGAAGGGATGATCTTCTAGTGCTGGAGACAGTATAATCCTTGGTAGTACTGTTACCTTGTTACCGGCATGTGTACCTGTGACTATTTTTCCTTCTATCACTCGTTCTCCCATTTGAGTAACAATTAGTCTTGTACCATTGCATAAACCCTCTTTTTGGTTGATGTTTCGTAAAAGCATTATGGAGACTCCAATTTTTAAGCTTAGTTTATGCTTGGGCAAGCCTGGATACTCCATGGAGTTTAAATACTCTGGAGGATATAAGGCTTCATAATCGGGCCTTTTTGTATCTGCCTCTGCTATGCTGTCGTAGCTTGAATATTCCTTCAACTTTCCTGGAACTTGTGATAACATGTATGCATTGATCTCATCCACTGTTTCATTGCGTGGGGTAAGAATAGCTCGTTCCGTTAAGTAATCAAAATTGGTCTGGGATTCACTGTTGAACATGTATGCCGTCTTCGTGATTTGTTCTAGTGAATTTCCAGATGGCTGCATAAGCAATCGTTTGTCAATGACTATGACTTCTCCATCATCATTCTTATCCTCACTATTTGATTGGCATTTTGGTGCAGCTCCATCCCCAACACTTAGAAGCCATGATGCAAAACTCGTTTCTGATGCCTGTAGCCTCATGTTTTGGTGTAAGACAAACACATTGCATGAATCCCACAAATCTGATTTACTTATTGATGCTTCGACTGTATCTGCTCTTGTTCCATGTGTTATAACTGGTAGTATCTGCCTAAAATCTCCGTCAAGTAGCACTGCCCGAATAGTTTTCCGCTTGCTGAAGAATCTTCTGAAGATATTAAATTGCTTATTGACCTTTAAACTGCTTCGAATGTGTGGCGATGCGACATTGGGGCTTCGTCCCATACAATGAGATCAGTTTTGAGCAGTAATTCTGCGAGCATTGTGCCAGGCTTTATTTCACATACAGAATCTGCAGTTACATTTAGAGGTATCTTGAATCTTGAATGTGCTGTTCGGCCACCCGGTAAAAGAAGGGCTGCAATACCCGATGAAGCAACAGGCAGTACTACTCTTCTGGTAGACCTTAGCTTTGCAATTATTGTTTTGTAAACAAATGTTTTTCCAGTTCCTCCAGGACCGTTGAGGAAGAATAGTTTACCAAGGTTATTGTCCACTGAATCAAGAACTGCGTCGAACGCCATCTTTTGCTCATTATTCATACTTCCGTAGTTTCTTTCATACTCCTCCTTTTCTTGCTTTATATTGTACCGATACTCCTGTGTAAGCAAGTTGTTGCCTATTTTTTTTAATGATGTTTAAATCAGGCTTAGGCATTGTGTCGAAATCGGTGAGGGAGCGTTCGTGCTGATGTAGAAGTTTTTCAATCTCAATCAAAGTATATTGCCGTAAATCATCCTCATCTAAATTCAAGCTTTTAAACCCCAACTCCCTACGTGTCTTGTAAAGTATGTCTTCAGATAATGATTTCCAACAATGTTCCCATAGCTTTAATGGGTCAGCAACCTCACAATATATGAGCAGAGTGACGAATAAATGTCGGAGGTGATTTGGAGTTGCCCATCTATTTGCTTTGTCCATTGCTTTATGCCATTCAAGATCATTCTCCAGCAAACCTCAAGCATAACATGCTGCTTTAAATGAACTTTGTACTTCACCATTAACTTCGAGTATGTCTTCGAAGCATGTTCGGCTTACTACGACATTCAACAAAATTCTGAGGTAGTATAAGCCTCCAGCTTTTGGATGGATGTTAACAATTCTACCTATGGTTTTCACCCGTTTTCTTTATTCCAAATCTTTGTCTCCTTGTCCCACACATAGTATTTAGGGAACTCCACATATGTCCATTTTCTGGCCTCTTCACAACGTCTATTTGCCGCCATCCATTCAGTAAACATTGTTTTGTCAATACCATATCGGGATAAGAGCCGGCCTAGATTGTCTGTATCCTTATAAGTGATGTATTGCTGGCCTGGGAGATGAATAATCAGTTTCTGCACAGCTGGTTTCCGTTTGTGGATGTCGTATGCAAATGTACGCCACATAGCTTCACATGCTGCTAAGTAACGACAATCAAGATACTCTTTGATTTCATTCCTTTCTTGGACAACTCTTTCTGCATCAGTGACCTTCTTTAATCATAATCGTTGCTTTATCCACTCCCTTTGTAATAGACTTGAACAGGTATTTCACAGCATTTGTCGTATTGCACCATTCGACGTTTATGTGTGCCTCGTACTTTTTCAAGATATCAACATTATGTGGTATCACAAATCGATTATCCAACGTGGTGCGTCCCTTTTTTACAAAAGCATCTTCTTTCTTCCGATGACGGTAGATAATATAACCAGATTTGTCGATGGAGGTGAAATCATTATATGGACGTGGATATTTTTTGTACATACCTGCTTATCCATGCAAGGTGATGTTGGTCTATCCTGTCCACATGGACCATGCATCATGTGTTTTTCCACAAGCTCGAACCCAATGGGGTCTTCTTTTTTGTTGGGTAGTTCGGCAGAGATCATTGAATTAATATCATCTGCAGTTGGAATTTTTGGTGCTTTATCTAACCATAGAAGTATATGTGCATGTGGCAGTCCGCGTTTTTGGAATTCGATGGTATGTAGTACTGTTTCAAAAAATGTAGGATATATTTTAAATATGTTTATATGAAATAAATAACTTTCTATGAACTATTCTGTTATGTTAAGGATGTTTGAATGTGTACCTGCAATACATGGTTCGAAGAAGGTGCCTTGTTCGAGATCTTTTTTAGCAGTTCATCGAGCTTCATTTTGAATACACGACATTCAATATCAGGTCTGTCATTCCCAGTTTCACCACCATAGGTTGCTATATGTTCTCTAATTTCTTTCCAATTTGGATTAGCAGTCATTGTGAGGAACAAAGTTGGATTCCCATAAGTTCGACAGATAGCCATGGCATCATGATATTTCTCAATCATGTATCGTGGCCCTCCTGTAAAACTTGATGGTAAGATAAATCTTTTCCCAAGTTTTTTGGCGTCTGTTTCTCCTTTATCCACCGCATCAAAAACATTGTTGTACAGGTCTGCTCTTAACTGGTCTTGATTGTCTTTTGCCCATCGTAGCCTTTCTTGCTCAATAGCTGTGTATGCATCAACTACATATTGGTGAAGTAGACGACCTCCCTTTATAATAGTCATCCCTTCTGCAAGTCGAGTTTGGATTTGATATGCATAAAACTCTCGTATACTAATAAATGTTCTCTTTCGCTCGCCAACTTGAGTTACCGCATGGGGAATCTCTGAGTGGAATCCATATTCTCCATAAGGAAACAATAGAGGATATTGTAAGCTCATAAACAGAGGGTGGTCATCCCTTATCTCTTGCAGGTGGTTTGATTGCAACTCTAATACGGTATCTCGGTAGCTGTTGGTAGCTGTTAAATCACCAACAATTAACCCTGCAACTTCGTTGATTTGTGGGAGATCATATTGCTTGCCTTTCCCTTTTTGACCAACCAATCTTACTGATAACTCTTTAATCTCATTTGAGTTGTAGCAATCTCTGGCCTTTCGGAAAAATTTAGCCAGACAGTTGTGGTCATCCAACATTTCAACCAGACCAATGACTATTTCTTCTTCAAGTTGGCCAGCAGAGTTTCTTCTTGACATCGTTTTCATACGATTTGAGATTTCATTCTCAGTGTCAACTATCCACATTTGTAAGAATTTTGGTGGCTTCCCAGGCATAGGTATCAAGGATCCTATACGGTGGTACAGAGAACCTTGTATTCGGAAAGCTGGTGGTCCATTTCCAGATGTAACTCTGTGATCAATACTTGTTCCTATCGACGTGAAAGCTAGGAGGGAGTTGTAGACTCGTATGTTGACACGAAAGGGCGAACTGTTAGCATGAAGTTTAGCTAGAAAAGAGGGCATGCATCTCTTTGATTGCGGGGAGTTTGACACGTCTTTGTTGGCAACATATTGTATATATAGGTTCTCCTGTCTGCATGTCATTTCCAGTTCTTTCTGAATACCACACCAAAGCTTTGCATTTGGGGCATTCTTGTAGTGGGTTCTTTTCAGCCAATGAAGCTGGGAGATGGCAAATTTGTGTTATTTTGGAAATAAAATACTACGCCCCTTGTGGGCGAAACTAACCCTTGATAATTATTCAATGAATCAGAAGACGTACCTTTAAGTTCTTTTCTTTCTTTTCGAGTTAATAGTTGGAAACTTGTAGAAGCGTTTCCTGTTTTTGATTTATTGATCTATTTGACTTTAGTTTTTTTTTTTTTTTTGCTTAAAAGGGCAAAACAAAACTTACCTCGTTGTCTGCTTGAAAATCTTTTTGATAATATTAAAGCCTGTCTCATGGCGCGGGCGTTTTTACGCCTTACTACAAAAGTGAGAGAATGAAGTTTTAATGTTTTTTCCTTTCGTAATCATGAGTAGTGGGTGTATAACAGAGTATAAATCAGTAATTGTGCTAGTACCATAGTCAGAGCTCCTCTCACAACCACCTATTTGGTAGTACACATTCAGAGGGTTAGATAGATTTTAGGAGACATTGTTTGATGTTATATTTATGATTCAATATGTAGAAAATATTAGGTAACTTACAATCAAAATACTTCCGAGTTCTTGCAGGCGGAGTGTTCCTGGACTTTTTTGGTACTGCTGCATGAATAGTTGTGTGGTCATTGTTTGTGAAGTTTAAGTATTTGGCCCTCTTGTCACATGTTTAATACATGGGTGTTCTCTACCTTTCGATGGTGGTGGGGTTGTTGGTGCGTCTGCGGCCGATTTGGTCTGTAAAGGGTGAGCACTTGTAAGGTTTGAACTTGATGGTATTGTTTGCGTCTTATGCAGCCTTCCTCTTTTTCGCCAGCTTTGCGAAAGCATGATTGTTTTTCTCATTGATCGTGCATTCTTAGTAGAGACTACATTGCATATATGAATGGGAATTGTAGGTAGTCTGTGATTTTATTTCCGAATGATTGGTAAGTAATTTATGAATAGATATATGTGTTTACCGTATTTGGAGCATTTGTCACACCCACCTATCAAAGGGAAATTAAATACCGTTAACACATAAGATGACTGTTATTTAAAAAAATAATAATGCATTTCTTGTATTGAAATACTTACAGTGATAACACTTGACTCTGTTTGTTTGAGTGGTGTCAGTGTCGGCCTGTTGGCGTAGTCCATGTGTTTGACCTAATATATTAGTTAAGATATTATCAGAATTTTAAAAGTTAATATTATGTGTTTGGGTATGTACGTAATCAAACGTAGTTGTTTTCAATTGTTAATAGCACTTGTATCCTCCGGCAAGCACTCCGCTTCACGTTTTCTTTTTCCCTGTTTACGTGAATCCATCAAAGAAAGCCGGTGGACTCTTGTTGATTAGAATCCTGCAACATGATGAACAATTGTAGCTTTGAGTAATCTTATTGTAATAAGAGATGTGCGTTTCTAAATTTTCTTAGAAAGAATTTTAGTGAGTGTCGTTCTTGGTGATTTGATATTATTAAACAAAATGGTAGACTTTCTCCTATGGTTGGACTTTAATTTTCAGTTTTTAAGTTTCTGTGCTTCGTCAAGCTTAGTTACAATATATATTGGTTTCCTACATTTGGGA